GCTAAACTAGGCTTGCACCCCCCTTCCCCCTTGCAGAGCGCGCAATTCCTTCCCTCGCCCCGGAATGCGCATTCCCCGGCGCTTCCGCGGGGCGCCCTTAAGGCAGGCCCGGCCTCCCCGCCCGGCTCCTCCCCCCGGACCGAGTCCCGGCGCCGCTTCCTGGCCGAGGCGCTTCCCGAGGGCGCCGCTCCGCTCTCCGCCCGCCGTTCCTCGAAGGCTGCCGCGCCTCCCTCCATGTGGCTGCCCCGGAGATGCCCCACAGGAGCCGCCTCCGCTGCGCTGCGCTTCCTGGCGCTCCTGCGCCTCGCCCGGGCCCCGGCCGGCCTCCCCCGGCGAGGCTACTCCGCCCGCTCCGCCCAGTGCCGGGGGCTGCTCTTCCAACAGGTGAGCCGGGCGGGAGACCCCCTCCTCGGATACGCGCACCCGAGGGGAGGGAGGAGGAATCGGGGCCGAGGTGTCCCCCCCCCGCGAGTATCGCGGGTCCCCCTCTTGTAAACCTTAATACTTATATAGAACTTTAGAATGTTCAAAGCACTTCACATAAATTATTTTATAGTCCTAATCAAGGTCAGTATTCACTAAATGTTATCGACTCTGACTCTGAGAACCAACAGTTGCCAAAGGCCATCTAGAATTGTCATGGCAGAGGCAAAATTCAGACCATAACTTTTCAATTCATAGCAGTCTTTTAGCTACCTCCAGCTCAAAATGAATCCTCATGATGACCAACTGAAGTAGAACCTGCTTTTTCTAAAAAAAAATTTGCTCTGAAGAGGTAAAAGAGATGTTATTAAAAGGTGTTTCAGTGTGTTCAATATGATGATGGATCCCTGCTTATGAACAAGGAAGATTAAAAAAACCTTTTTAATATGATAACCTTACATGCTGAGGTTTACATAATAAGAAACAAATATTAAAGAAAAAACAGTCCTTACTGCTGCCAATGATGCTCGCTTGTTGCTCAGAAATAACAGATCGAGACCTTCTACATTTTTCCTTCTTCCTCTCCTCCTTTTCATAGGTGGTTCTACATCAATTAGAGACCCATTTAGCAGATGCCTTGTGGGTGTGCGTGAAAGACCTGCTTGTAGCAGTTCCATCTGAGTTTTAAAGGCATCAGACACTGGTGTGGAAACATTAGGTAACAGAAACTTTGAAGGAACAGCTGAAAAAGTTGAGGTAGAACATGTTGCCTCTCGTGAGGCCTTTGATAAGTCCACAATTTTTTCTTGTCCATTTTCTGAGACAACCTGCGATTCTCGCAAATGGGCAACCATTTCCATGAGATTTCTCCTCTTGGCTGCCCTTTCGGCCTCAATTTCAATCTTTCTTCTCCTCCTCCTCCGCTGGCGTGGGACTGATAAATTGAGTGCATCTTCCTAAAGAAAAATTAACATTTATCATTACTAGGAAGAACATTACCTTTTATTTTTTGGACTTTTCAATTTTCAATTTGTTTTAAAAAATATAAGTTTTGATTATTATAGTAAAACCCAGCTAGCCACTTTTGCCCAATTCTGGCCCCAGTCACACGGCAAATGGGAAGTGGAGCGCACCGGTGGCTTACTGCCGACAATGCGCCTTAAAAAACTAGTACCTCCAAGGTACTAGTTTGCCACGGGCTGCCTCCAGACACCCGTGGTGTGATCGCACGAGTGCGCAGCATTCCCCTCCGGTCCCTCGTTTACCCACCGGTGCCGAGGGAAGGACCCGTGGTGTGCCGCCGGCACGTCTGATCGTGTAATCGCGCATCAAAACTGCGCCGGGGGCAATTAGCCAAGCCTCCCCCCCCATATCCGGCCTGTCTCTAATTAGGGACAATTATAGATTTTACAAGTGGGAACCTGTAGCAATTTGCAGGTGGCATCTTTCACCCTCCCCCACTATTTCATCTTTCCCTTTCCTGAAAGCCCCCAGGGCCTCTCCCCCTTTTTTGCTTCCTTCTCTCCCTCCCATCCAACAGCTGACCTACTGTTGTCTGCCCTTCTATCTTCAGCTCCCCCCCACAGCCTCATCCTAGGAAAACTGTGGCCCAGTTGTGTGGTGCTGGCCACTGGGCCAAGCCCACTTGCATGACAGAGAACCCTCAAGCATTTGTGGGGGGGGGGGGAGAACCTCTCTTTCTGCTGTAACCTCCTCTCTGCACTATTTCCTCTTT